TTATTTATATTATTATTAATATTACTATTATTATTATTATTACTATTATTATTATTACTATAATAATAATTATAAAAAGATTATGAATCCTTGTATGGGACTACTATCTGTTTTTTTTTTTAAATGTATAACACATGATACGCAGCACATATTATTTCAAAGGAGACACATATCCATGTAGACTGCTTATATTATACTTCTAAGTAAAACTGAAATAAGACTTACGTGGAGAATAGGAGCGTGATCTAGACCTGTCATAACGTGATCGTCGCCGGCTGTAATATGGACTCGGAGAACGCCGGTAGCTTCCTCTGTAACTGCTCCTATTTTCAAAATAATTAAATTTAGTAAATTTTTATTATAATATTATATTTATCTGTCAGTGAGGTCAGACGTGTTTATAACGTTCTCTCTCATTTTATAACGTATTTCCATACAGTGTATAGTTTTGCTTATTCTACATTTAATTTCTATTTTACAATGAATACTACTTGTAGTGGGTACAATTATAGGGTTGCAAAACCTATTAAATGCAATCTGTGTGGAATTGCAGCTCATCCGAGTTGCCTATCTCGGACTGGGTAGGAAGATTCTTAAGCTGTAAATGCAATGTTGAATCTCGTTCGWGCAATATTTCCAATATTTCTAATTCTTCGAGCTCTGCAATTACCAGTTTGGTAATTCGTGAGATAATTAGAGAGGAGCTTAATGTTCTGAGAGAGGACATAAAAAGTCAAATTAAGAAACTTGAAAATGATATCATTGCTATCAATGATAGAATTTCAAATATGGAAGAGAGTTTAATTAATTCAAATAACTCATCAAATTTAGCCGTTGAGTACAATGATATTATTAGCGAGATTGAGGAMAGAAATTGGAGGTCAACAAATATTATTCTTTTCAATGTTGATGAAAATATTGCCTCTACCTCGTCAGCGCCTCCTTTTTCGGATGATAATATAGTAAAAGATATTATAAAGAAGATTGACCCCTCTGTTCATCTGGGGTCAAGGACAAGAAGGATTGGGAAGAGATCATCTGATAGATCTCGCCCTATTCGTGTCACCCTGAACTCGAAAAAGGAGGTGATTTCCATTTTAAAAAATAAATCAAAATATAGTGATCCTGTAGTCATCGCTCAGGATCGCACTAAAGCGCAACGCGAGTATTTAAAAGCTATAAGATTTGAATTAAAAGCTAGGACTGATGATGGTAATCAGAACTTAACCATAAAATATATTAATGGAACGCCTAAAATTGTCAATTCTAAAACTAATCG